GCTGTCAGATCCCTTTTAGAATGAGACAAGGTGTCAGTAAATATATACAGGCATTAAAAAGAAATTTAAAAAATCTAAGAAGGTGTTGGAATTGAGGGCAGGAGAGCTGGGAGGTACCTTCTTGGTTCTTTGCACAGAAGATGTAGACCATCCAGACGTATTCTTTCTTGTGTCTCCTGTTCAAAGCCCAAAGCTGTGAATTAGATGATAAGTCCCTTCTCTAGAAAAAGAAGAGAGGAAAGCCATAAACTGGAATCCGCATAGCCAGTGAAGTCATCGTGACTCTCCCAACAGATTCGGAACTGTCTCTGGTGGGCCTGCAAGGGGCTCCACACTTCACCTGTTCTCCAAGTACACACGGGCCACTTGCACTGTGGTCTATGAAGTTCTCGCTCTCCTTGCTTTTCTAGGCAGACTAAAAATTTTACATAAGCTTATTGGGTTGCATTATTTAATAAATACATAAAATATTTACACTGTATTTCTAAAGATAAATTATTCATACCTCCCACAACACTTTTGATACAGGTAAAATAAGGGATTAGAAGTTATCTGAAAGAGGAAATTTCTATGATGGGCATGGGGATAAGTCCTGCTTGAGAATCTAGACAAGAATGGAATACTCACAACTGTCTTTGACAGTGTGTATTTATAGTAGGCTATAGTAATTAATCTTCATTACTTTTTCTAGACTAAAACTGCCAGATAGTTATCAGTGTCTACTTCAGGAACTAGAAACACTTCTGTGTAAGTTTTACAACATGCTGTTCCTACTAAGCTGTGGAAAATGAACAAAAAGATTTCTTTTTTTTTTTTAATTTGTTTATTTTTGAGAGAGAGAGAGGGGCAGCGTGAGCAGAGGAGGGTCAGAGAGAGAGGGAGACACAGAATCTGAAACAGGCTCCAGGCTCTGAGCAAGCTGTCAGCACAGAGCCTGACATGGGGCTCGAACCCATGAACCGTGAGATCATGACCTGAGCTGAAGTCGGACACTTAACCAACTGAGCCACCCAGGTGCCCCGAACACAAAGATTTCAATCAGGGTCTATTTTAATGCAATTGCTGGATGATTTTTCACTCTCAGTGTTTATAGCTAGCCATTTTTATGCAGAACTGAAAATATGTTTTATGAGACCGGCTTTTGATTCAATACATTAGAAGGATTTTCAAGGCCTTTGAACCAAGATTATTAATTCATATGGTTTGTTTTTGGTTGACTACATTAATAGTATGTGTTGTTTTAGTAAGAGGGTGCATGCAATGAAAACATTGTATTCTAAAGCCTTAAATGAGTGTCCTTGAAAAAATAATCATAGTAAAGCTGAGGTTACTTCAAAAATAAATTCATTTTATTCATATCTTGAGTGAGGCCATGATAAAAGGAGAAACACAAAATTGCTTTTCTTAACAGAACAGGCTGCAGAGAAAGTCCAGGAGAGAGGATCTTTGAAAACTCTCTGTAAAGGTTACTACAAGGTAACATTGCTGTCCAAATCTGGACTAGTGAAAAGTGAGAGCTGCTGAATGACAATGACCATCCCCTTGATCTTATGAATAACGTCTTTCTTCACTTGCACAGGCCTCAGCGCACTATGCAGTCAGGGAGTGTATGCCCCCACTCACCCACCCGCCTTGGAATTCTCCATTCCCCTTCCTCGTAAACTTCAAAAGGAGATGTTAAAGTCATGGTCCATATGGACTCTCTATGACCAGTGCTGAACTATATATACATTGTTTCTACAATTAGAAAACACACTCTACCACATGAAACAAGATCACGAGAATGGGGTTGTCCTTTGAATTCCACCACTGCTAAACCTCCTTAATGAAAAACAAAAGGTCGACTGAACATCATTTGGAAACTAAAGTGAGATTTCGTTGGGAATCTAGTCTGCGGGATGGGAAGATTTAGACTCCAATGTGAGGACTGCCTGTGGAATGGTGGTGTGGTTTAACAAGCCGAGTTAAACCACAGGTGTGAAGTCGAGAGCTTAGGTAGCCACACACACTGCGCTCTTCCAAGGAGATGGAGACAACTGGAAAAAACAGAAAGCACAACCATATAGAGGCAGCGGCTTGATACAGTGAGCAGACCACAGCTGGGAGGGAGCAGTAAGAAGTCTCCCCTAGCTTTATCATAGGGGTCTGCATTGTGGAATGGAGGAGGGTGTTCGTTTATCATACAGCCTAAGAAGAGAAATTGTAGCAAAATGTCAGGGTAGACTATGGATCCATTAAAGTCATCGAGAATGATGACTCATTCTCATTCTTTCCGGTTCTAAGATCTATTTTTTAAAAGGCACTTTTTAAATGTTTAGAAGCATCTGGTTAATTTTTGTTTTCAGTCCTTTTATAGGTAAATGTCTTTGAACATTCGTTTTCCTCATTTCTGACTTTTGCACCTGAACAGAGCAGTCAAATGGAGCTAGGATATATGCTAAGATATATAGGAAGGCTCAGCTGCCCAAATACGCGATAAGGACTTACAAGCTTAAGGAGGCTTGTGGAGAAATAAGTAAAGTCTGGAATCAGAAGCAGAACTAGCAGAAGAATACTAAAAACAACAGCAACAACTGAAAGTCAGCAGCACTCCCAAAGGAGGCAGCAGGGGTGAGAGTGACTGTATCGGAGGCTAGGAAACCAAACCTCCACATCTCTGTAGAAATGCTTGCAAGGTTCAGCCTTTTCTGATGTAAGTTATTGAGAGGTCTGAGCAGACAGAGATGTTGGCCGGTGAGTGTCCAAGCCACAGGAATCAGGTGTTTGCTCACCTACTCTTTGGTAGCCATCTCAGGCAGATTCTTCAGGGACAGGAGGGACAGGAGAGGACACAGCTGATTGCAGTACCTCCTGACCCTCGTGAACTGTGAGGGAGGGTGATTTGGAAGCTCCAGAGCCCTACCCAGTTCAACCTGACCTGAAATTCAGCAGTATATTCCTAGTCCATAATGATGAACAGCCTGGCTCTGGCGGCAGGTTTTCCCGGGTGTAGATTCCACAGCTATTTCTTAGTTCTTGGTAATCTTGAGAAAGATATTTAACCTCCATAAGTATCCAGACTACAGTAAACGATGAACTAGATCCTGTCCCTCCCCTGATCAAAACCTTCTAATGGCTTCCCGTCTCAATTAGAATAAAATCTAGGGGTGCCTGGGTGGCTCAGTTGGTTAAGCACCCAACTTCAGCTCAGGTCATGATCTCATGGTTTGTGAGTTCAAGCCCCACATTGGGCTCTGTGCTGACAGCTCGGAGCCTGCAGCCCGCTTTGGATTCTCTGTCTCCCTCTCTCTCTGCCCCTCACCTGCTTACTCTCTCTCTCTCTCTCTCTCTCAAAAATAAATAAACATTTAAAAACAAATCTATATTCCTTCTTCAGCTGACAAGATCTCTGATAATCTATCTGCCCCTTGCTTATGTCACTCTGATTTATTGTCTTCATTACTACTATCTTAAATTACCTTTTAGTTTACTTTGTGTTTGCCCCTCTCTCCTGATTCCTATGCTTCTAACAGCAGAGACCTTGTCTGTCTTATTCATTACTGTATCGACAGAACCTAGAACAGTGCCTGGCACAGTTAGTGCTTATAGCTATTTGCTTATTTGATTGAGGGAATAAGTACCCATTATGACATGTAAAGCTCTTAGTACAGGACCTGATAAGTAGTACACCCACTATAATTGTTTGTTGCTGCTGCTACTACCATTATTATCTGTTTCTTATATTAGGGCTCTGCATATGATTTCATTTGGAAAAAAGTTTGCTACCAGAAAGCAAGTTTAAATCTGTATACTGAAGTATAATTGACCTTTAAACAATTAGAGGGTTAAGAGCGCCAACACCCTGCACAGTTGAAAATCCACATGTAACTTTTGACTTCCCAAAACTTAACAACCTACTAGTAACTGGAAGCCTTACCCATAACATAAATAGTCGATTAACACATATTTTGTATATGTATTATATATTGTATTCTTACAACAAAGTAAGCCAGAAAAGAGGAAATGTTAAGAAACTCAAAAGGAAGAGAAAATCCATTGAAAGTGCTATGCTGTATTTATTGAAAAAACTCCACATACTAAGTGGCCCCACATGGTTCAAACCTGCGTTCTTCAAGGGTCAGCTGTATACACGTATCAGAACATCACATTGTACACTTTAAATATATACAATTTTTATGTCAAAGATCTCTCAGTAAAGCTGTTTAAAGAATGAGCATACTACTGAAAGAAATGTCATCCCATTTGAAAAAATAATCTCAGTTCCAAATTTTTCACATTAAAAGCAAGACAAATTTTTAAAGGCACTGCTTAATTCTTCTGGCTTCTATGTAGATGATCTTTTGTTCATAACTGCATAGCAAGCAGCCCAGGAGGTTAGTTCACTGTACTTTTTATTTTTACCTTTAAGAGGCCAGGAGAACTGTGAATTTAAATCAACTAAAATAGGGGCCCCTGAGTGGCTCAGTCAGTTAAACATTCAACTTCAGCTCAGGTCATGATCTCATGGTTTATAGGTTCAAGCCCTGTGTCAGGCTTTGTGCTGACAGCTCAGAGCCTGGAGCCTGCTTCAGATTCTGTGTCTCCCTCTCTCTCTGCCCCTCCTTTGCTTATGCTCTGTAAAAAAAATCTTAAATCAACTAAAATAAGGTTAACCTCTGTCCTCCTCAAAAAAGCAAAAACAAAGGGACACCTGGGTAGCTCAGTCGGTTAAACCTCTGACTCTTGATTTTGGCTCAAGTCATGATCTCATGGTTCTTGGGTTCAGGCCCTCATTGGGATCTGTGCTGAGAACATGGGACCTGCTTAGGGGTTCTCTCTCTCTCTCTCTCTCTCTCTCTCTCTCTCTCTCTGTGTGTGTGTGTGTGTGTTCCCCTCCACTGCTCACTCGAGTGTTCTCTCTATCTCTCTCAAAAGGAAATTAAAACAAAACAAAAAAACAAAAAACCTGGGAACTAGTAAGGATGCTAACACTCTGTATTTTATTTCCATTTCTATTCCAGGTGTTGCCACATCTGCAAACTTCCTGGAAGAGTGATGGGGATTCGAGTGCTTCGTTTCTCTTTGGTGGCCATCCTTGTGCTGCTGCTGGTAGCCGGGGCTCTGACCACTTTACTTCCAAATATTAAAGAAGACAAGATGCTCACTCTGCGTAGGGAAATAAAATCCCAGGGCAAGTCCACCCTAGATTCCTTTACTCTGATTATGCAGACGTACAACAGAACAGATCTCTTATTGAGACTTCTAAATCACTATCAGGCAGTGCCGCACCTGCATAAAGTGATTGTGGTGTGGAACAACATTGGGGAGAAGGGACCCGATGAGTTATGGAATTCTCTAGGGCCTCACCCTGTCCCTGTGATCTTCAAACCACAGACAACAAACAGGATGAGAAATCGGCTCCAGGACTTTCCTGAGCTGGAAACCAATGGTGAGTTGCAGCTGGGTTCTTAGCAGGCAAGGGCTGCAGCTAACCAGAGCTGGGAGGCGGGGGTGTGATTTCTGGCCTTCAGTCCTAATTATGTGGAGAAAGTAGGGGAAATTGAATCAAAAGAAAGCACTTTGAAAAACTTAAGGGGCCAATTTTCCACATGTCAAGAGGCATTTTCCTCCGGAAGAAATCACACACATATTGCAACAGTGACAAAGAGGTTACTGTTGTGAAAGAAGATACGCTATAATTACGTATTTTATAGAGAGAGTAGTAAGATGGCATTCGGCTTATGCTTAATGTCTTCTTTTTGCCACTTCCCTTTTCCTTCCATTCAGAGCAGTTTTGTGAGTATTGCAATTTGCTTAAAAGACCCTCAGTTTTATTTATTTGTAGGATCATTCGTTTCTAGGGTAGTAGATGATAACGGCATGATAATTTCCCCCTCGGGCAATTATAAAATCAATTACAATTCAAATATACACTTTTCCTGCTACAAATCTCTCCAAGAATACATTTCTTGTTTACTAATTTTGTTCATAAAAGTATTCATTTGAATGATCTATCTAAACACCATTGCATCATACTAGTTTTGTTCTCATTTCCAAACTGTTGGATTTAAGTTTTTCTCTCTTTTGTTTTCAGCGGTGTTAATGGTAGACGATGACACGCTAATTAGTGCCCAAGACCTTGTCTTTGCTTTCTCAGTTTGGCAGGTAATGTGGCTCTTTGCTTTACGAACTCCTCAGTATAAAGGCTTATCTAGGGTTTAGCCAGGGCAGTGTGGATTAATGTGGGAGACACCTCAAACAGCGTAGGCAGTATTTATCTAAAAGAGAAGTTTGGTACATGGTAATCAAGATTTCTTGTGTTCAGTTAAACCAACCTCAAGTTATGGTATCCTTTATCTGTATTTGATTTATGTTTGGTATACTGGGGAGAAGAGCTGGAACTACTTTCCAGAAAACAATGTGGAAATGATCTGATGCATCAAAGACTGGAATCGAGAGATATTTTCTACAAGGCCACAGATATGTGTCTCAAAAGAGAAGTGTATCTCTGTATTAATATTATACATAACTTGCTTTAACAGAAAGCGTTTTACACCCACAAAATTTAATCCTGATGCTGGGACTCCTTTTTAGAAATTAGTAACAATAATAATTCCAGTGCATCATTGTGGTCACCATTTTATTTATTTATTTATTTATTTAGGTGTTTTCCTCAACCATGGCTGGAGTAAACAGGAGTACATTGCTCGTCATTCTGTAAAAAAAACTTTTTTGCTCTTAATATGTGTTAATTAATAGTAGCTGGCTTTTATAAGCTGCAGTTCAGGAGTACCTGGCTGCCTCAGTTGGTAGAGCATGCAACTCTTGACCTCAGGGTCATGAGTTCAAGCCCCACAATGGGCATGGAGCCCACTTAAAATAAATAAATTAATTAAAGTGCCATGTAGTATCCAAAATATTTGGGGCACCTGGGTGGCTCAGTTGATTAAGCGCCCAACTCTTAATTTTGGCTCAGGTTATGATGTCACAGTTCGTTATAGCGTGGGGCCTGATTTGGATTCTCACTCTCTCTTTATCTCCCCCACCCACCCCCCAGGCACTCTCTCTCTTTCTCTCTCAAAAGAAATAAATAAACTTCAGAACAGAACAAGTTGTAGTACAGTTACCTACGACCTGAACTGCATACCAATAATCTGAGGCTGTGTCAAATAATTTAACACTAGGCTGCCCAATACTGGTCTAACTTGCACTGTAGTACCTCTCCTTAATTAGCTACTTGGGATATAAGAACATTAGATATTAATGGTAAGTGGTCACAATACTCTGCAGATACCACTGCTCTCAAAACTGTAGTTTCTAACTTTATGCTGAGTATACTGATCAACAAGTTTTTTTTTCCCCTACCAGCACTTTTTCCAGCCCTGTAAATAAAAGCTCTTTAGGCAAAAAAAATCTAATGTAACACTCCAGCTGTGAAATTTCTATTTCAGGTAGGACATCAATTTACCTAAAATGTCAGGGGTAGAGGGAAATAGAACCGTGGTTAATTAGAACAATCCAAGTAAACCATAATTAAAGATAGATAAATATGATGTTTAGGTTTTTTTCATAGAAGAATAATCAAGAACAGTTTCAGTCCATTGCCCAAGGTAACCCAACTCCTGAAGTCAGTCCCATCAATGCCCTGCATAGTATAGTGATGTGAGCTAGAGAGGCAGGCAAGGCTGGGATGGACGTCTCTCAGGTCTTTGTACTGCTTAGCACTGTGACTCTTCCTCCTCTGGTCATCTGTGGAACTTCACTCATCCTCCTAGATGATGTAAATGGCACAGCCTCTCTGAAGCCTCCCTTCCTTTATCCTTGACCCTCTGACCTTCCCTTTGCCTCCCAGCAACCAGCTGTCACGCTGTCCTAGGTGCTTCCAGGAGGTTTACCCAACTGCATGTACAAGCATCTCATAGTATGGGAATTCCTTATTCACATATCTGGATCATGGCCTCCCCGGACTATGAATTAACCCACCTGATGTGTGTGTGTGTGTGTGTGTGTGTGTGTGTGTGTCCCCGAGTTTAATGTCTGTTCATTAAATGAGTGAAACACACTTATGAGATTGAACTGAACCTTTTAACTCTATACATTCTTACATATTTTCCATGCTTCACTGGTTTTCTCTGGTTTGGTGATTTTTGTTTTATTTTTAGTTACTCTAATCTTAATATTTGTTTTACTGCTGTCTTTTTTTCCAAAGATTCTGGTGACATCTCATTATATATTTTTTCTCATATTCTTTTTTAAGTTTATTCGTTTTGAGAGAGAGAGAGCAAGCAGGGAAGAGGCAGAGAGAGACAAAAAGAGAGAGAATCCCAAGAAGGCTCCGCACTGTCCGTGCAGAGCCCAGAGCCAATGTGGGGCTCGAACTCACAAACTGTCAGATCATGACCTGAGCCAAAATCAGGAGTTGGGTGCTTAACTGACTGAGCCACAGGCACTTCATTTTTTTTTTTTTGTTTTATTTTTGAGAGAGAGAGAGAGACAGCGTGAGCAGGGGAGAGTCAGAGAGAGAGGGAGACACAGAATCTGAAGCAGGCTCCAGGTTCTGAGCTGTCAGCACAGAACCTGATGCGGGGCTCGAACCCACGAACCGTGAGATCATGACCTGAGCCAAAGTCAGTCACTTAACCGACTGAGCCACCCAGGCGCCCCATTTTTCTCATATTTTTAAAAAGGAAACACCCAAGCTGAAAAGGGAGAAAAATATAACATTGTTTAAGATCAACCTTGACTTTCAAGAACATTGAAATCAACATTGGAAAACAGTAGAATCATAAATGTAGATCCATAATTTTATGTACTCCTAAGAGATTAAAACAGTTTTTCAAAACAATCACACTGTGCCTTCTTATCTGCTGTAATAAATAGCATTCATAGAGTCAGCTTCTCCTGCAGCAAACTTTAAAGAACCAGACTCCTTGGTGACTAGAATTTATTAATATCAGATAACGTTTGAACTAAGAGAACATTTGTAAGGTTAGAAATTTTGTTAGCGATTTAGGTTGCGATGGAATTTGACCTGCAAACTAATCAGGACATAGATTTATCAAGTTGCCTGGAGTTGGATGAAACTGAGATGTAGAAGCCAGGAATAAAATAAAGCTGATACATCAGTTCACTTCTCTCTTTAATAAATAATTGCCTTTTTCACCATGTCTGCTCTAAAGAAATGCCACCCTTAATTGTTCTTTTTCCACCTTTTCAGCAATTTCCTGATCAAATTGTAGGATTTGTTCCTAGAAAGCATGTCTCTACTTCATCAGGTGTCTACAGTTATGGAGGTTTTGAACTGCAAACGCCAGGGTTTGGAAATGGTGACCAGTACTCTTTGGTGCTGATTGGAGCCTCATTCTTCCATAGCAAATACCTTGACCTCTTTCAGAGGCAACCCGCAGCTGTCCACGCCTTGATAGATGAAACCCAAAACTGTGATGATATTGCCATGAATTTTATCATTGCCAAGCACACTGGGAAGACTTCAGGGGTATTTGTGAAACCTGTCAATATGGGCAATTTAGAGAAAGAAACCAACGGGGGCTATCCTGGAATGTGGCACCGAGCTGAGCACTTTCTGCAGAGATCTTATTGTATAAATAAGCTTGTTAGTATCTATGATAGCATGCCTTTAAAATACTCCAATATTATGATTTCTCAGTTTGGTTTTCCATATGCCAATCACAAAAGTAAAATATGAGAGTAAAACAAACAAAATCAAACCTCAAAACTGCTTGGTATTTGAGTAGCTTCTCTGCACTAGGATTGGTGGGGGGGGTTGTTTGTTTGTTTGGTTGGTTGGTTTTGGTTTTAGTTTAGTTTTTCTTTTTTTTTTTTAAGCAACATCATGAAATTTTATCCACTACAGAAGTCTCTACAGAGGAAAAAATGTACAGTGTTTCTAGGACATAAAAGTCACGTGAACTTCAAAAGCCAAGAATATGGTACTCTCTGGTACTCTCTGGACAGGTCTTCTTTCAAGGAGTTTTCCTCCACAGAGAGAACTCCTTGGCCAGCGATTTTAATGTTTACATTCTGAGACTTCTACAGTTTCGTTGACTTCCTGGCATTTGCCTTAAGGACGGATAGCAAGTTGTCTCTAGGATCAGAAACTCCAGAGAAGCATTTCTCAGCGTTTTCATTAAAGGATGATCGTTTTCATTTGAAGCCTGAAATGCCTCGTTAGCAAAAGCCTGTGGTGTACAGAAAAGCCATGTGAGGGGGGGATAATCTCAATCCCATATAAAAACAAGCAGAAAACTCATGACTACCAGTGCTTTCATTGTGGTCTTTCCAGCACTAACGCGGCCTGGCATAGTTTCGATGCATCCATCACTGCTTTTATTTTCGTTGATACGTCTGTTGTGACTAGGAGTGTTCGTTTCGGTAGCTGAAAGATGTCTCGTTGATTGCTTGGTTTTTGTGAACATTTACTGCATGGATCACAGAAAAGTGTAGCCTGCGTTTCTCATGTGCAATCTATGTGCAGTAAGGAGTGAATGTGTTACTAGATTCAGGTAGCGCATTTTGTCCCTGAATCTGACCTTGAGAGTATACATTCATTCTTATATTTTACAGAAACCATGTGTTGTTGTTTAAGAAACTTCTAAAATAGTCTTCTGAAAAAATGTTTAATTAGGACCTGGCAAAAGTTAAAACCCTTGGTATCGAAAGATCTTTATTGTTAGGGCATAGGTTACTCATGGACACTGAAGAGTTATATGTATTAACACAAAGTTAATCTCGTATTCAGAGCTGCTGCTGCTTCCCCCGCCCCCCCCCAAAAAAAAGGTTCAAGGTACCATTCATCTGATGAAATTTTGATTACAGAGATACAGGAAAAAAATAAGAGAACTGAACCATAGCAGAGGAATTTTATAGGGAGTCTGCATCAGCAAATTGTCGGATTGCTCACTCTGTTGCGTGAATTAGTATCTGTGTTCCACGCAGTTGGGTCCTTGTTCACACTAGTAGCAAGGGAATATTTACTTAAGCCCCCATCACCTCCTCTTCTACTTCCCCCTCCTCCTCCCATAATGTCATTATATTCTCATAATTGCAACGCTGTGAAAACATTATAATAATCATGGTTAATGTTCCAACAATGAGGTCTCTGCAATTAGTCCAGTCCAGTACATGTTGTTTCTTTACACTGACATGTGTATGTGTCTTCATGCAGTCAGATAAAACCAGTAGAACTCGGAACCTCACTAAAAATCTATAATGTTCATTATCGGCTTTGGCCAACCTTGGTAGTGACTTTTTGCTTCTTGGGATTCCACTGGCAGATAAATAAAATAAACTTCTACCGTGCAGATGTTCTGTTAATTAAGCAGACTCACGTTTTTGTGGTTGGTATTTTTACAATTGCTAAACATTTTAATGCACTGCTCAGGGTAAGGCAGAGGCATTAGCTACATTCTCTGGGGGGAGGGGAGATTCTTCAGTGGGAAAATATTCCCAGATTTTATTTCCCATTCTGTGTTCTCAAATGTGTCTGAGGCATCACATCAGTTAATCATGTCATGATTTTCAGACAGTATACAGCAAGTATGATAACAAAGTGAAGGTCAACCTGATACAAAGACCCTTGCATTGTGGCTGGAATTCTAGAACTGTTTTTCTCTGCACAGCTCTTATTCTTGTTCCACATGATCAGGAGAAGAGATGAGGCTCAGGTTTAAAACTGCGTGAGGAAAATGATGTAGCTCAGAGGTGAGGTGTGCCAGGAGAGTGGTTGGATTCAGATCCTTCCTCCATCTCACATGGACTTAACTTCCTGGAGCATCACTTTCCTCATCTGCAAAAATGAGAGTACCTAGGGGGATGTTTAGAGAAATAAAGGAGATAGCTTGTATAAATATAGTCCAATGCTTTGCCCATCTTAAATGATCAATACATGAAAGCTGTTGGGGTATGTTCTTGATAGTAAGTGCAGTTAATTCTACAACTTACCCCCTGGTATTAGAAAGGTCCCTGGGCACACCAGGTGAAATATTCAAGAAATTATTTCTAAATAACAATGAGCAGAGAACCAAGGCAATTTTCACATCATTTTCTTTAGTTCAAATGCCCTTTTTCTTACTCTTAAAACACTACCTATTCAGTCTGACAATTTTGGCTTATTCAGAACAGCAGAACAGCGTGAAGAAGAAATTAAAAGCACACCACGACAGTAACAATGGCTAAACATGTTTGTGTCTATTCCTCCTGACTTTCCTAGGCATCGATTTTAAGAACATAATTTATTTAGCATTTCATTAGATGGATACACTATAATTTATATAATAAATCATATACCATTTTGTTTGACTTGTTACTATTATAACAATATTTGGGTAAGTGCCCTTGCCTTTGAGCTATCTATAATGATTCCTTTATAATAAGGCCAAGAACCTCAATACCTGGATCTACCAGGTATGTGTGTTTTTCGAGTTTTGGGGACATATTGCTATGTGCTTCCAGAATCATTGCCGTAACTGCACTATTAGTACCACATCTGAGGGTACCTGCTTCTTGTCAGGTTTCCCAACATTATATATTATTTAAAGTTTTCTTTCCTTTTTGTATGTATAAAATACACGACTGTTGCAGAATTTGGAAGGACTTGGCTATGTTAAGAACTTTGTTAAGAAGGCTGAAAACCAGGCCATCAACCGTCAAACAAAAGATTCAAAGACAGTATAAACTTCAGGAAGCTTTTGAAGTGTTTCTAGAAACTCTTTGCTCCCAGGCTTGAAGTATAGGCAAGGGGTTGCTGACCCTTTGCTGGTCCCAGAAATAAAAAATTTGGATGCGGCAACAGAAAAAATGCTCACACTTGTTCCTCTTAGAAAGACCCAAGGCTTTGACCCAAAGGTGTGTGTGCATGCTCCTGTGTGCACACTCACGCACATTTACGGATGCAGAGGGAGGACAGGAGACGAGGTACAGGGAGTGGGGAGGAGGGTATGGAGTGGAGGATCATGCTGTGATGGAGGAAGGATGGGGAGGTGCCAAATCTCACTGGCTGCTAGGGCTTCAGTGGTGAGCTGTGATCATCCCCTGCCCAGTGCTATTTCATAAACCAGTGTTTATTCTGCAAGGGTTCTTCAGATTTCACTCTCTCTCTCTCTACTCCCTTCTTGCTCCCTTCCGTTCCTCCTTTTCTCTTCTTTAAAATTTTTTAAATGTGTATTTCTGAGAGACAGAGAGAGAGTGTGAGCAGGGAAGGGGTAGAGACAGAGGGAGACACAGAATCCGAAGCAGGCTCCTGGAGGCTCTGAGCTGTCAGCACAGAGCCCAATGTGAGCCTCAAACTCATGAGCTGTGAGATCATGACCTGAGCCGAAGTCGGATGCCACCCAGGCACCCATTCCTCCTTTTCTTCATTCATGAAGGCTCTCTCAATATAAAACCCTAGTTTTTCAAAAATATACTTACTGTAGATGAAATTCAAAGATTTGATACATTGGAAACATGCACTGAGTCCTGGCTTCACTTGATCTACACATTAAGGCATAATGTGTACAGAGAACTTTATAGCATCAGGAAAGCATGAGACTTTTTAAAAAGCCATTACAGTTAAAGGAAGAGCAGTTTGGCCAAGAGTTCAAGAAACCTGGGTCATGAGTTAGTTGTGTGAAAATTATACCTTAGAGTATAATAAAAAAGCAAGAATGACTATTCAAGTACTGAAAGCAATTTCAGGAACCCACTTTATTAACTCTGGCTCAGAATAGAATATTTAAATGAAGTATTTATCTAAACTAGCAATGACTCGATGCTTTTTCATATGTCAATATTTCATTTGAAAAGAAAAAGAATCAAATTATTTATCAGAATATTTTAAGTAGTTAAAAAAATAAACCTGAAAGAGGCAGCTTTAATTTACAACAGTGGTTCTTAACTGGGGCTGATTATACCCCCAGCGGTCACACAGCAATGTCTGGAGTCATTCTGGTTGTTAACAATTGATGGCATGCTACTGCCTTCTAGTGAGAATGCAGCAGCCCCCAACACAAAGGGTTAAGCATCCCAAAATGTCAATAATGCTGAAGTTGAGGGAAAATGTGCTTGCCATTCCATTATAGAATGTTTGGTTATTTATCTATATGGCACATACTTCATCACAACGCAAGTTTCAATGTTGAAGTTTTATCCTATATAACAGTGCCTATTGGAACGGAAAACTAAGGGGATGGGAACATACTTCTATTACTGATAAGACATCTGGTGCATAATTCTGTTACCCCAAACCTGATCGAAGAGCCAGAAATTTCTCTGGTTCCGGTTTATTTCTGCCCCCTTTTTCTTTCTGATCCACACGTCTTTATTTTCATATCTTAAGAAATGGAGCTTCAATTTCTGGGAAGGATCTATAGATAAATACCTATTTCTGAATCACCACTGGGCAATATTACATAATACCGCATATATTTTAATAACACATCTCAGAGGAAGTCAGGATGATTGAGTTAATATAAGCTAAATACAAATTCTCAGAGAATCATATTTGAGTGTTCAAGTATCTCTGGTTTAAACAATTAACTTAATAAACAGCTAGGAAAGACAATTTACATAGGAAAGAATCCTACTGTGGGAGAATTAGGAAACGTTTTTCTCATCAGCCAGGTAATGATTTAGGTTATATAAGTTTATCTGGGTCGCAGTTTTCACATGTACAAAAGAGAGGAATGAACTAAATGATTAGTAAATTTCTCTCCAGTTGTAGAATTCAGTGGCCCCAAATCAGTTTTGAATTGGAAGGTTTTAAAGGAACCAGGTTATACTTCCCAACAAGAAAAAATAATTCCTTGGAGTTTAGCTCTGTTGGAGCTTCCTACCCTCAGCCTATCCTCAAGAGTCCTTTCTCAAAGTGAATACTAAGTCAATACTAATTCGATTATTATAAATTCAATTAACAAACATCACTACTATTTTACTGTTTTAGAGCCAAAAGACGTCATGATTATGATGTGCCAAGGTTGAGAAAGAGGACGATGTAATTGTTCAGTGGTAAATACTGACTAGATAAGGTTATGATTTTAAAACTGCATTTCTTATAGATTTTGGATACTAGCCCTTTATCTGATATGTCATTTGCAACTATCTTCTCCCATTCCGTCTGTTGCCTATTAGTTTTATGGTTTGTTTCCTTTGCCGTGCAGAAGCTTTTCATCTTGATGAGGTCCCAATAGTTCATTTTTGCTCTTGATTCCCTTGCCTTTGGGGATGTGGCATGTAAGAAATTGCTGCGGTTGAGGTCAAGGAGGTTGTTTCCTGCTTTCTCCTCTAGGGTTTTGATGGTTTCCTGTCTCACATTCAGGTCCTTTATCCATTTACTCCACACCTGAAAAACAAATAATCCAGTGAAGAAATGACCAGAAGATATGAACAGACACTTCTCCAAAGAGGACATCCAGATGGCCAACAGACACATGAAATGATGCTCAGCGTTCCTCATCATCAGGGAAATACAAATCAAAACCACACTGAGATACTACCTCACTCCAGTCAGAGTGGCTAAAACAAACAAATCAGGAGACTCTAGATGCTGGCAAGGATGTGGAGAAACGGGCACCCTCCTACACTGTTGGTGGGAATGCAAACTGGTGCAGCCCCTCTGGAAAACAGTGTGGAGGTTCCTCAAAAATTAACAATAGAACTCCCCTATGACCCAGCAATGGCACTGCTAGGAATTTACCCAAGGGATACAGGAGTGCTGATGCATAGGGGCACATGACCCCAGTGTTCATAGCAGCACTCTCAACAATAGCCAAAACATGGAAAGAGCCTAAGTGTCCATCAACAGATAAATGGATCAAGAAGATGTGGTTTATCTATACCATGGAATACTACATGGCAATGAGAAAGAATGAAATCTGGCCATGCGTAGCAACATGGATGGAACTTGAGTATGTTATGCTGAGCGAAATAAGTCAGGCAGAGAAGGACAGATACCATATGTTTGCACATATAGGTGGATTAGGAGGAACTTAATGGAGGACCATGGAGGAGAAGAAAGGGAAAACGAGTTGGGGAGAGGGAGGCAAACCATGAGAGACTCTTGAATGCTGAGAACAAACTGAGGACTGTCGGGGGTGCGGGAGAGGGGAAGGGGGGTGATGGGCATTGAGGAGGGCACTTGTTGGGATGAGCACAGGGTGCTATATGGAAGCCAACTTGACAATAAACTATTAAAAAAATGTGCTACTTCTCAGGACACCTGGGTGGCTGAGTCGGTTAAGCATCTGTCCGACTCTTGATTTCAGCTCGCGTCGTGATCTTGCAGTTGTGAGATGAGACCTGCACTGGGCTCCGTGCTGAGCATG